CATGGGGGGAGGGAAGGGGAGGGGACAGGGCACCTAGGAGCAGCATCTTAGAGATGGGCGCAGTCAGAAGCAGCGAGGGGAGGTGCACCCCCATGCACGCATACCTGGAAAGATGGCTCCAAACCCAGGGACAGCAACTGTTGGAGAAAAGCGGGAGGAACAGCGAGGCGGCCTCAGAAGGAACGCGGAAGGTAGGGGACGCAGGCAGCTGGGTGAGCGTGACTATGGCCGGTGCCGGGGCCCAGCCTGGTCCACCTGTCCTCCCACTGTCAGACTTGGTGCTTGGCTGTGTGTGTAATGAAAAGCTAAGTGAACACAAAGCTCTCCCGACTCGGGAAGAACCTACCAGCTCTCGTTGGTGAAACCCACAGCAGAAGGAAGTGTCCTGTCCGCCCAGCAGCTGCGGTCCCGAAGCCAGATGGGCCCCCCGGGCCCCCCACGCCAGCAAGGCGGTCCTTCTCAGCAAACCTTTCCCTACAGCCCGACCGCATCTCATCAGGCCCCTCCCGCCTCTGCGCGCCCGCGGGCCGTCGGCTCCACACACAGCCCAGCACACCACAGCGACGGCCGCTGACTGCGGGGCGCGCCTCGGGGCTGCCCGGGACGCTCGGGCCTCCTCTAGCTGCGAGCTCGCCGAGGATGGAGGCCGCGCGGATCCTCACACCGAGCCCGGGTCCCCCTGGCCTGGCCTCTACCACGTTCTTTCGGCATGGCTTTCCTGGCACCCGCAGCAGCCAGCTCGGGGAAGGGCGTCCCCGAGGGGCGAACGCGAGGACACCATCTCAGCCACACGGACCTTCGCAGGGCGGCTTCCCGCCCCAGGGCCTTTGCACGTCCTCGCTCCACTCGGAGAGCCCCAGCCCTCGCCCGGGGGCCGGAGGCGCCTCTGCCGGCCTCGGGCGCACAGACCCGGGCACCGACGCCCTCGGGCTCCGCTGCCTCGACCTCCCCCGCGGCGCCCCCGCCCCGCCTGGGGTTCTCCCAGAGGCCTCCGCGGCGCAGACCTCGGGCCTCCCGAGGGGCGGAGCCCGGCCGCGCGCCGTCCCGGGGTCGCGTGCTTACCGGAGAAGCGGCGCCCAGCAGGAGCCTCGCGGCCCCGGAGAGCGGGGGGAGAGTCGCGGCGCCCGCCTAGGCGGCCTCCGGAGCAGCACCTGGCCGGAAGAGCTCCCTGGGCGGCAGGAAGTCCCGCCTCCCGGGCCAGCCCCGCCCCGCCGCCCCCGAGCGCCCCCGTGCGGGCGGAGCGGAGTCTGCACGTCTGCAGCGCCACGCGTAGACCTGATGCGTTTTAGGCACCGCCCGCACCGAGGGCTGGCTCCCGGGCCTGACTGCAGGGGCGTCCTCCGGGTCGCCTGGCTCTGCTGCCCTGGGTTTTGTATGTTTTAGGCTATGCCCAATGATCAGGGCTGATGGCGAGATGTCTTCGAGGGCTGTCGGTATGGTTTCCTCACCCTAGGAGGGGTCACACAGGTGTGGTCAGGGTGGACAATCCATTCATTACCGGCGTGCTTTTCTGCGGAGGTTACACTCCCATGAATGCTCTTCTGAAAGGAGGAAAGCTTTGGAGGCCGGGTACACAGGAGGATTTCTGTTTGAGGCCGGTCCAGGCAAGAAAAGTTCACCAGCATCCCCTTCTCAGCCTTCTCTGAGCTGGCCACATGGCACATACCTGTCCTTACAAACGACGTGGAAGGCTGAGATTGGGAGGGTCGAAGTTCCCCGCCAGCCCAGGGAAGAAAAGTCTGTGAAATTCCATCTCCACAAAAGAAAAGGAGCTAGGATGGCATGCACCTGTTACACCAGCTTCACTTAGGAAGTAAGACCCTAGCTCAAAAATAGTGAAAGACAGGCCTGGAGGAGTGGCTTAAATGGTAGAAGGGAGAGGAGGGAAGTAAGGAGAAGCACTTTTGGCTTGTCTCCTTAAGACTCGGCACTCCAGACTGCAGATGTCTCCCCTGACCACCTCAGAAGCCGACATCAAAAGTTCCTCTTCAAGGACAAGATGTTTTCTGTCTGGAGCAGTCCCTGGGGCATCCGAGTATTGCTTGGTAATATTGAGTCGCTGAAAACGGAAATGAGATGAGACAATTCTCCTGAGAAAATACCAACACATCTACCCAGATTGAAGGCTGAAGTCAGACGGTGTCTGATTTAGCTGCCTGTTTGCCTCGGAGGATGGGCCTGGCCAATTAGGTCATCTGGGGTGCATTTTTCATAAACGGGATGGGCTACGGCCGCATCTCCACAATTTTGATGATAATATATTTAAAAAGTGATTATAATAAACCAGCAGTCAGAAATGGCACCTTTTGTAACTAGACAAGTGATTTTAAAACTGAGGCGACATAAGCTCTCAAAATTACTTCAGGATACAAGCAACCAAAACAATTGTTTACTTATTTTGAGACAGGGTCTTATATGAAGGTCCAGACCAGTCTTAAACTCTCTATGTAGCTCAAGCTGGCCTTGAACCCTTGCCCACCTGCCTCAGGAGTGATTCTTCACCACACCTAGCTGGAAGACGGTTTAAATCAGTGGCCCATTTCTGCTACAAGTTGTCACAGCCTATTGGCTTCAGAAAATGAAATACCTTACAGTTGTGGAGGTCACAATTCCAACCCACTTCTCACAGGGCTAAAATCAAGGCATAGCAGACACTGGTCAGCAGCTCCAGAAGAATCCACGCTATGCATTTTCCTGCATCTGGAAGCTGCCTGCAGTCCTTGGCTCCTGGCCCCTTCCATCCTCATTAAATGTTCCTCATGAAGCCACTCTCCAATTCCGACTCTTCTGTTTCCCCCCTGTGATTACCTTATCCAGATAAGGCAGCGGGGGGGGGGGGGGGTGGGGGGTGGGGGGGGGGCTGAGATTTGAGGATTGTGGCACAAAGCCTGCCAGGACAGGAAGGTCCTTAAGGAGCTGTGGCTCAAGTGTTTGAGTGCTAGCCTTTAGTTTAAAAAAAACTAAGAGACTGCACCCAGGTCCTGAATTCAAGCCCCAGGACCAGCACATGCACACACATACACACATACACAAAAGAAGGAAAGAAGGAATTTCCTGATACTACTGTCAGCCAATAGCCTTCCTTCTAGAATAACCATCATGGTGACTCATGGCTCTAGATGAGTTGTGCCACTTGTGATCCACCAGCTACTGCTAACTACCACTTGCGACAGTACTACAGGATACCAAAGCCAAAGGAACGAGAAAAACACAGAATGGAGGCAGCAGAGACCAGGGTGCCCATGGCGCACCGGTTCCTGAACCCCGAGTTCCTAGAGGCAAGCTTATTTATTTGGTCTAACAACAAATAAAGGTTGCCATAGGTACGTTATTTGTTATTACAGTCATTGACATGAAACAGAGTTGGTGTAAAGAACAACTGGCTCCCTTATTGTTTTGAGAGTAAAAACTGCCACCTGGGCATAATTCAAACATGGATTCTCCTTCATGTGTCTTTCAAGGTCCAGCTCTCAGGCCTTCCAGCACGAATGAAGGGGGCAGCATTCCAGCCCCTTTACCCTCTCCAGAACTGTCTGTTTCAACCTTCCCAACGCCAGGTCTCAGGGGTCGGCATACTGTCGAGGAGGCTCTCCAACCTCTCAAACCTTTTCCATGTCTCACAGCTCAGCTTCAAAATTCCCTACAACCAGCGCTGCATGGTTTAAGTTAACGAGGAATGTGGCATCCAATCACCACTTGTCCGCATGCCGTGGTGTCAGTGGGCATTTGGGAGGGATCTGGGTCTGGTGACTCTGCTTTTGTCTCACTGTGAATTTGACCAGTTGGTACACCTGTTGCATTGTCTCATCTCTTTAGGAGGGTGATACTGTTCCATCCCAGACCAGCCACAAAATGGGGAGTCGTAGGGGCTGGGAAGGTGGCTCAGTGGAAGAGTGCTTGCCTTGCATGCATGAGGCCCTGGGTTGGATTCCTCAGCAGCACATAAGTAGAAAAGGCTGGAAGTGGTGTAGAGCACTAGCCTTGAGCTGAAGAGCTGAGGGACAATGCCTAGGCCCAGAGTTCAGGCCCCACAACCGACAAAAAATAAAAATAAAAAACAATGAGGAGTGGCCCATTCTGATTTTGGCCACTGAACTGTGAGGGCTCATCTACACAAGCCACCATGCCTATTCTTTGGAAGATCCAAGTTCCTGGTACACCAACGGTTCCTGTGTCCCAGGAGTTACACTGCCATGTCCCGCGGTCATGTCCCCATGAGCCCTGTCAGGCCCTAGAGCACAAAGCAACCGCCACTATGAATGAGACCCAGAAAGAAGGAGCTGGGCCTGCTTGCTCACTACCTGGATGTACTGTAAGATTTCATTTGCAAGTCCCCTCCCAGCAAATTGTGTGCATCCCTGGCTTCATCTTATCCTTCCTGTCCCCCCCCACTCCTGCCCCTTCACCTCTAGCCTCTGACCTTGAAGATCTGGCGTCTTCGGGTATTTTTGTGAACCAACTCAGAACTGCTCCTCCTGGGAAAGCCAGGGTACTAAGGTTTTGGGCTGGTGAGCACTTCTGTTTGGCTTCGGCCAGGCCTCCAGGGAAGTCTTAAACATGGGTGCTAATAGCTCTGTGGTCCTCTGGGCAAACACAGCTGCCTGGTGCCGCAGGCCCCAGGCCCCAGCTGTGCTTTGGAGGCCTCCTGGGGTGGTAGCTACACAGCGTAAAAGCCAAGTTCAAAAGCCCCCTGCCCTTCTTCACGGGTTCTCCAACCTTCAGGACCACCCGAGGTTGGAGACCAGGCTGATGGAAGGAGCCCGGCCCTGCCCGGCCCAGGGCGCGGCCTCGCCCTGGGACAGGCGCGTAGGCCGGGGGGATCCGCATCCGCAAGGCCCCGGAGAGCCTGGCCTTCCGATTGGTTAATCGCACTGCACCCTGAGGGCTCCCATTGGTCGGCCGCAGGCGAGGGAGGCGGAGCTCACAACCTGCCGTCGACCACCTGCTCCCCACGCGGCCGCACAGAGCCGCGCATGCGCCGCGCCAGATCGCTCCTGGCCATGGCGGCGCAGCCCGGCGTGGGAGTGGCGGGTGCGGACGACGGAGGCCGCAGGAAGCCCCGCCTGGCCGCCTCGCTGCAGATCAGCCCGGGGCCCGGCTCCTGGCGGCCGGCGGGGGCCGGCTCGGGTCACGACGCCTGGGGGGCCCCGCCGGCTCCCTGCGCGGAGGGCGGCGGGCAGCCCCGGGGCGCGGCGGGGGCCGGGGGGCCGCGCGGGGCGGCGCGCGCCGGGGAAGACCCCGGGGCTGACCCCGGGGCGCCGCCGGGGACGACCCCGAGGGTCCCGCCCGCAGGCCCCGCCCGGGACCTCCCGCCGGCCCCCGCGCCGCCGCCCGGCCCGCTGCCCCGAGACCCGCCGCCCGGCCAGGCCGTGGCCCTGCTGGAGCAGTACACGGCCAGCCTGGGCGTGGCCCTGGCCTTCCGCGAGGACCAGGAGGCAGGTGAGGCCGGGCCTAGAGCTGGCCTGGGCCGCGGTGGGACCCCCCAGCCCCACCCCAGGACACGAGGACAGCTCACCAACCCCAGGTGGCCAGGCGGAGGGGGACACAAGGGGCTGAGTCTCCCTCCCCAGCCTGGGACCTCCAGGTTGGACGCCGTGAACCAGCTGCGCCTCGGGTCTCCAGGCCTGGATCTGCCTGTGGCAGGGTCGCACCTGTTGGGTGTGTTGGCTGCAGGCTCTTGGGAGGATCAGGCAGAAGGATCATGAGCCCAAGGTGCGCCTGGTTTACAGAGCAAGACCCTATCTCGAGCGATCGAGACATGGGTCATCTACAACCTGAGCTAAGGACGGTTCCCCCAAGCTTTCTGACCTTCGGCACATGAGTTCTGAATTATTGGGGCTCGGACGTAGAGCCTAGCTTTTTGGATCAAGCCTGGCACTTTGTCACTTGAGCCACACGTCCACTTCTGGCTTTTTGCTGGTTAATGGGAGATAGGAGCCTCACAGACTTTCCTACCCGGGCTGGCTTCAAACTGCAGTCCTCATAGTGCTGTGTCCTGAGTGACTCCTCCCTCACACCTTCTTCCCCCCTGACCCCCCAGGTCCTGGCTTTCCCTTCTCTGTGTGTGTGGAACTGGATGGTGTGGTCTGCCCTGCAGGAACCGCGAGCAGCAAGACAGAGGCCAAACAGCAAGCAGCGCTCTCGGCCCTCCGCTACATCCAGAGCCACCTGGACAGCACCGGTATGGGAGCCTCCCTTGGGGGAGGCTTGCTGCCCTAAAGCTAACCTGGCTCTAGGGTGGGTGGGAGGTTGAGCAGGTTGCAGTTCTGAGAAGCATCTGATCCTGCTCTAACGTTCTTTGAAGGACAGGGACTGTTAGAAGAGCAGCTTCCCGGGTCTCCAAGGTGGAAACTGTCCCCTTCTTGGCATCCCAAAGGAGAGGAGGGCAGGCCTAGCACCCAGGGAACCCAGCTTCCCCTGCCTCTGAGGGTCCCCTGGGGCAGCAGAAAGCCCACTCACTTCCCTGAGCGTCAGTAGATGGGCGCTTGGCCCAAGTCCCAGTGCTGGGGAGAGCAGCCTGGCCTGTGGGACCCGCCACTGATCTCTGGCCCTCATGCAGAGACCATCCTGACCCATGAGCAGCGCTGTGCGGCTGTGGTGAGCGCTGGCTTGGCTCGCTTGCTGGATGAGAATTCTCCATACCAGGCCTGCAAGGGGACGGTGGCGGCCGTCATCCTGGAGAGGGGTGAGGATGGCCCCGTCCCTGCCTGCCTCTGCTCTCCCCCCCCCCCCCCGCCCATCACCAAGCCTTTTCCACCTCCCTATGCAGAGATCCCCAGTGCCAAGGGCCACACCAAGGAGATCTATGAGCTAGTGGCGCTGGGCACCGGCAGTGGTAGCTGTGCCAGCTGGCTGGAGTTCTCAGGTCGGCAGCTGCATGACTGTCATGGTCTGATCATTGCCCGTAGGGCGCTGCTGAGGTGAGGGGCGGGGGAGGGGGGGCGGCGGGCAGCGGGCTGGGCCTCGGCTGGCCAGGGTGACGGCCCCAGCCCCTCTCTACCTGCCGCTCCCAGGTTCTTCTTCCGGCAGCTGCTGCTGGCCACCCAGGGGGGCCCCCAGGGCAAGGAGCAGGCTGTGCTGGTCCCGCAGCCGGGGCCCGGGCCCCCCTTTGCTCTCAAGCCTGGGATCTTCCTGCACCTGTATGTCAGCAACACCCCCAAGGGAGCAGCTCACGATGTCTAGTATGTGGGGCTCCCGGGCTGGGCACCCCTCAGTTTGGCTGTTGAGGGGGCCAGGATCAGAAAATCACAGCTGACTCTGGATCCCCCGCAGCCTCCCGCTGTCCTCGGAGGGGAGTGTCCTGAACATCCCAGCCTTCCGCCTGCAGGTCCACGTCTGTGGGCAGCTGAAGCCAGTGTCCTACGTGGCCCCAGCGCTCCGGGACACCCGAGTGGGCTGCCTGTCAGCCAGCGACAAGCTGGCGCGCTGGGCCGTGCTGGGCCTGGGCGGCGCGCTGCTGGCCCACTTTCTGCCACCGCTCTACGCCACCAGCCTGGTCCTGGGTAAGGGGCCCGAATGGCGAAGGGGCTCTGGGATCTTGTGGGGGTGCAGGGAGATGACTCTGACCACGGCCTGTGCCTTTTGCTCCTCAGCTGACCCCTGCCACGACCCTCCAACTCTGAACAGGGCCATCCATGCCCGCCCCAGCCTAGATGGGGCCTCGTGCCTGCCCCCGCCCTACGTCCGCACCACCCTGCATCTGTTTTCGGGGCCTCCAGTGGCCCCCTCCAGCCCTACCCCCAGTACCTGCCATGGCCTGAGCCTCAACTGGAGTCTGGGGGATCCTGACATTGAAGTGGTGGATGTGGCCACGGGGCGTGTGAAGAGCAAGTGAGGAGGGCCTGCGGTTGGGGGGCAGGCCCCTCCCTCGGGGGGCTGAATGGCGGGCAGGCCTGCGGTTCCTCCTCCCCTGCTGCTCATCTCTCCTCTCCTCTCCTCTCCTTCCGCTCAGTGCTGCTGTGGGCCCCCCCTCGCGCCTCTGTAAGGCCGCCTTCCTCAGGGCCTTCCGCCAGGCTGCCCAGGCTCTGGGGAAGCTGCAGCTCCTGGCCCTGCAGACCTACGAGGACATCAAGGTCAGCGCGTCCCTTGTCCTGCGACCCCATCGCCAGTCCTCTGTCCCCTAGTGCCAGCCTTGCTCACCCTCCCTCCACCCTTCTCTCCCCACCCCGCTCTGTCTCCCCCTAGGCAGGACCCTACCAGGAGGCTCGCCAGCAGCTCTCCCTCCTCCTGGACCAGCAGGGCCTGGGATCTTGGCCCTCCAAGCCATTGGTGGGCAAATTCAAGAGCTGAACTGATGGCCAGCAAGTTGGGCCCCTGCAGGGGTAGGGCCTGCTGAGGCTGCGGTTGCGCAGAGGCCCGGGGGGGGGGGGTAGAGGGGGTGTTGGAGGGGCTGCTGTACACCGTCTTGAATAAAGAGTCGCTTCTGGTGGTCCAGGCCTCTGCGTGTTGCTGGTTTGGGGGAGACAGAGACCTTGTGATGCACCCTGTGCGTGCCAGGCCCCACCCGAGCCCTGGTCTCCAGGATTATGGAGCAGCAGGGCCAGGGCCAGGCCCAGTTCACCTGTGCAGCTTGGGAGGGAAGGGCTGGCGGCTCCCGCCTTCCAGGCCACAGCTGTTGTAGATGGGCCTTGGGAAGCTGGCTCCGAGGCCCCAGGGCGGCGATGTTTAGTGTCACCTGACCTCTGCAATGGGCAGAGACGCCCCACACTCCCATGCCCATCGGAGGCATCGCAGCAGAGAACAGCACTGACATTGGTTTAGTATATGCTGTAGGAAGCCTCGCACTGGGACTTACCCTCTTGCAGGAACAATGCACAGGCCCCCAGGCCTCCCGGGCCAGACAGCAAGTCCCAGGCCTCATGGCCTCTAGAGAGGGGTGAGCCCATCCCCACCCCTCCCTCCGTGTCCGTGTTCCCAGCTCTCCCGCCGGGAGAGCCCCAACTGGGGCTGTGGAGCCAGGTGTGGAGAGCCTGGCTCCACAGCCCTGAGGTTGGGTCCCCCCAGCGCCGCTGCTGCTGGGCATGTGTGGCTTGGCCCTGTGCACGCTGCTGGCGGCTTCAGCTAGACAGTGCAGGACGCAGCCTCGGCCCTCATCCTGCCAGCCAGCGGGGCTGTGCACCTGTGGGCACCTCGTTCTCCTCATTGTCCCCTCCACACATTCCAACTACTTCCAAAGCACCGCCATGGTCCTAGGTGGAGGCCTAAGTCACACCCAGTGCTGTGCAGTCTGTGCCACTCGATAGGGACGTGTCCTGGGGATCCTGAAGCTTCAGAGGGACAGCGGATCAGAGGGCCTGCCTGGGCGGGAGGAAGGTGAGTGAAGGACGGAGAGAAAATACCGTCCTCCCCCAGGGCGAGGCCCAGCACTCTCCACAGGCTGCGGAAAGTCGAGCTTCTGAGCTGCGCACGGGTGGCTCACGCCTGAAATCCTGGCTCTTCAGGAAGTTGAGATCAGAGGATCATGATTCAAGGCCAGCCTGGGCTGCAAAGTCTGTGAGACTCTTATCTCCAATAAATCACCAAAAAGCTGGAAGTGGAGCGTACCAGTGGTAGTGCACCAGCCTTGAGTGAAAAAGCCAAGGGATATCACCCAGATCCTGAGTTCAAGCTCCACTACTGGAACAAAAGAAAGTCAAGTTTCTACCAACTCTGAACTAGGAGTCAGATCATCACCCCATTGCTCAAGTGCCCACCCCACCCCGTGAGGCTGAGCTCGCCCAGCCTGGTGCCTCACCCCAGCCTCCCACCTCAGTTGCTGCCCAGGATGGCTGCCAGGATCTCTAGGTCCTTGGAGCACACAACCCTTTTGAGCCCTGAGTAGCTAGCCTACAGGAGGAGTGGAGACTTGGTGTAGTGGACCTTGCTCTGCCCTCTCCTGACAGCCAGGAAGAAGGAGGTTGGAAACGGGAAGGAGGAAGCTAGTTCCCTCCTCTGCCTGCAGGGAGGGGACACCTGAGCTGTGGACATTCCTCCCAGAGTTTGGGGGGGGCAGCCAAGCACCTCTAAAGAGGAGAGAGACTTCAGGAACACAGAGGAAGCAGGACACTTACCAGGCAAAGGCCAGGCAAGCACGGAGGAAAGTAATTCCACCATTTACCTTTGAGTGCTGTTGAAAATAAAAATCAAGCCACCTCTGGAATAAACATTTCTCACGGTCACACCTGTCCAGGGATGGAGGGTTTTCTTTTTAAAGTTCCCAGCCTATTGATGAGCTCACTTCTCACACACTGTTCACCCCGGAAATAATGAGATTGAGGCGCCATTGGGCTTCTGTGGTGACTAGAGCCCAGGCCAGAAATGACGCTGTCATTTCCATTCAGCTTCGCTCCCAGCCCATGCCCTCATTAATCACATAATCACTGGGTAGCACGCTACTCAGAGTGACATTAACTGCTGTGTTCTGCCAAGTAAGTACTATTTGTCCCCTGGTTGCACAGATCTCATTGCCCAAGCTTTCCATTCTGCAGTCTGTGCCCCGTTCTGACTCAGCGTGCTCCGTGGCAGGGGGTGGTGACCTCAGCTTTTGAAATGGACAATCTGCTGATGTCTTTTTGGCCTAATCCCCCCCCCCAGAACATTTTGCAAAGAGTAGCATATTTAGATTGGGGGCTGAGGTAATTTAACTTGGCACATGCCAGTGCTGCGCCCTTGAGGTGCCTCTCCCCACTTCCAGCAGGGCCTCCCTCTGCAGTCCCAGGCCCTGGGAACCATCGCTGGACCGTGGACAGCCTGGGGCAAGGGCACTGACTAGAAACGTGGACCTGGGATGCCAGCCTCAGTGTCCCGAGAGTGGGTTACAATGTGCCCATGCAGGGGTACAGTGGGAGGAGGGGGGGAGGGGGATGCTGTAGTCAGGCCCCACGGCCATCAGGGTCACAGTGGGAGGAGTTGGGGAGGAGGTGGGGATGATGCGGTCAGGCCCCACGGCCATCAGCCTGGAGTGAGATGTTCATTTCTGCCCATCTCCAGTAGGGGGTCCACTGCATCCTACACGAGATGGAAAATTAACAGACTGGGTTTCTTTACAGCATTGTGTTAGAAAGGGAACAGAGGCCCTAAAATAAGACTCGGAAGGCATTTTGCAAAGTTCCACGGAGTCCGAGCAGAGGGTCTGTCCTGTGAATCGTCATCCTGCTTCACAGCCCAGGAGAAATGAGCATTTAACTATTTATACACAGATTTTTCTAATACAGCCTTAAGAAATATTTTTAAAATCCATCTTCCTAAGTAGCCACCATCGATAAATGAGGCTGGCTCCTTCCTTTTGTGCCACACAGGAAACAGGTGAGACTCGCTCGCAGCAGGAAAACTTCATGCCTTGAACCAGGGCAGGCTTTCCTAGGTATGGTGCCAAATAAAAGAATATGGGGACTCCACTGAACTAAAAAGTCTTGTGCTTCGGAGCGTCAGAAGAGTGAAAGGAAACCCACAGAACTGGAAAGGCGCTTGTAAGTCCTGTTCATAATGACAGGCTTGTATGTGCAATATTTAAAAACAAAAACAAACCTCTGACAATTCAATGACAGAAGCGGCCAACCCAGCAAATGGAGAAAGGTCTAACTGGAAGACATTCAAGTAAGGACGCACAAAGATCCCTTCCTTTTTAACCACCAGAAAATTGCAAATCAATAACCTGCACTTGCATGGCGATGAAAACAAAAAGAGCAGCACGTGTGGGTGAGAATGAGAGGAGGGGAAATGAAAGCTTCGCGCGGGGCCGGCGGCTGTGGGAAGCGCTGCGGCGTCTGTCCAGCAGTTCTCCAAAGTGGTTAAATGTAGTCCCATCAATTCCACTTCTGGGTAATGCAAAGGATACAACAACATCTACACAGACATCTACACAATGGCAGTGGCGGTGGCGGCAGCATAATGCCGTTTCTTTCCCCCAAGAGTCCATTAGCTGATGACCAAATAAGCAAAACTCAGTGCATCAGTGCCAGGGAGAATCCTTCAGGCATGCAGGCAATAAAGCTCTGACGCCTGCCACAAGAGACCCCAAGGTCACTGCAAAGACTGTCCAGAGCAGCTGTGGGTGGAGAGGAAGCGGAGCATGGACCCGGGCCCGGCTGTGGAGAGGACCTGGCTCTGCGTGTGCCCCTGGGGTTTTGCGCTGTTTCACACTTGGAGTGCAGCCTTGCTTCCACAGTGGCAGGTCAGCCGGGCCGATCCTCAGTCCTGTCATGACAGGAGGCCAGGCTCAGTCCACCCCCTGAGCTGGACAACCTCGGAGCTTCTAGGGGACAGGGCAGGATGGGAACCAAAGCTGTGGGATCTTCTGCTCAGTGTCTCATCAGCACTAAGGTACTGGGGCGGGGGCGGTGTTGGAGGTGGCATGTGCCCTGACAATGCTGGGGGTTCGCTGATGGGTGCAGGTCGAACTCGTGGGCTGAGCTGTCTCTCCAGCCCCTGGCCCCCTACCTGTGGGGAGCGGAGCAGACAGAGACCACCATGGAGGGGCCCAACGACCTTGAAACCACTGTGCTGTCAGGTCTAGGGAAGGGCAGAGCACGGCTTTGAGGTTTGGGACCAGGACAGACCTGGAACCTGAGAGCTCATTTCCCTGCAGGGGGAGCGGTCGGTTCTTCCTGAGGAGCCCCTCACCCACTTTCCCCATCACGGCTTTCCCCAGGCCTTGTTGGGGTGCCTGCTCTCTCCTTTGATTTACCAATACACCTTTGTGCTCTCTGCCACCCGTGTCCTGGGATTCTTTTTCATTCTCTGCAGGCCCAAGCGGCCTCCTCTGCTCTGGAGGCCTCCCTGGAGCCTTGCTGGTTCTGGGGCCCTGTGCTCAGCCTCCTTCTGCACCCTACCCCCACCCCCATTGCCTGGACAGAGCACCTTCGCTTTCCACTCTCGGCTGCAGGATACCCGCCTCTCCACAGATGACGATGAATAAGGCTGCTGTAAATACCCGTGTGCCAGTTTTCTGTGTGCATTCACGGGTTCGGCTCCTTCGGGCTGGTGGGCTTTTGAAATGCAAGGTGCACATCTGTGATTCCAGTCCTCGGGGGGCTGAGGCAGGAGGATCCCAAATGTGAGGCCAGCCTGGGCTATGTTATAGTGAGACCCTGGCTCACGCACATGAATAAAAAGGAAAATAATAAACAACTCGAGCTGTTGGAAGTCTACTGATGTGGCTGAGCGGAGTCCAGGACGTGTCCTGTGCAGCCCAGTCTCCACGGCAGCTTAGAGGACCCCACCAGCTGCGGTCTGGCCTGCCCTCGTGACTGTGGCCTGGCCTGGCCAGGGAAGCCCAAAGCTAAGCCCTATGACTCCACTCCCCAAGCTGAGGCTCCAGCCCAGGCCCACCAAAGCTGCGTCCTTGCCCCTGCTCTTCCGCCTTTCCATCTCCTCCTCTCGTTACTGACAATTCACTTGCCAGAGAAGTCAGCCTTTAAAAGGTACACACTGCAGTCTTTGCGGTGCATTCGCAGAGTTGCACATCATCATTGGTATCGAATGCTACATTTGTGTCACCCCCAAAGGAACCCGGTGCTCATTAGCAGCCTCTTCCCCCCAACCCCTCGACAGCCACTCAGCTACGTTCTCCCACGGATTTGCTGATTCTGGGCATGCCACATAAATATAGTTGTAGGGGCTGGGAGGGTGGCTCAGTGGTAGAGCGCTTGCCTTGCATGCCTGAGGCCCTGGGTTCGATTCTTCAGCACCACATAAGCAAAAAGAAAAAAGCCAGAAGTAGCGCTGTGGCTCAAGTGGTAGAGTGCTAGCCTTGAGCTGAAGAGCTGAGGGACAGCGCCCAGGCCCAGAGTTCAGGCCCCATGACCAGACCCCGAAAAAAAAAAAAGAAAAAGAAAAAAAAAGAAACAGCGATATAGAGCCTAGGAGAATTACAGAGAGTGACAGAGTAAGAGAGAGCCAGAGAGAGACAGAGAGACGGAGAGACAGAGAGAGACAGAGAGACGGAGAGAGACAGAGAGACAGAGAGACAGAGAGACAGAGACTACCTATCCTTGGTCCCACTTGACCTCTTGCCGGAGGCGTCCTGCCTCTGCTATATCCCCAAAGTCAACCCAGCAGCCTCCTGGCTGGACGTGCTGGACACACCAGACGGGTCACAACACGCTTCTTAGTATGTTTAATGGTTTTCTCGGGGCATGCGGGGGGCTCTGAAAGCTCAGCCAGGCAGGAGCAGGGGACCCAGAGCCTCTCGAGGGCTCCGGTCTTCATCCGCTCACCGCCACTCAGCGGAGCTCCCAGGCGGTGGGAGGGGGGATTTGAGCTCGGGGTGGCTTTGTTCTTCCGCAAAGGTGAGTTATGAAAGTCCCCATGCTGCGGGCGTGTCCACGAGGCCCCTGGGAGCCGCTGCTGCCAGCAGGCCGGGCTCCTTTTGTCTTACTTTTAATGAGACCATGCCCCTGAACCGCCCGGTGGATGGATGCCAAATGCTGGCTAGAGGCTGGCACTGGGCAGAGAACAGGTAGGTCAGGGCTGGGGGTCCGGGGCTGGGGCTGCATCCTGGCTTTGCTGTCCCTGGCTGTGTCCCTGGCTTGCCTCTGTGTCCCTGGCTAAATCACGCCCTGTCCTGCGCCTTCTCATTCACACAGGGAAAATGGGCAGGTGGGACCCATGACCTTTGAGTCCTTGTAGCTGCAAGAATGAGTGAAGCCTGCCAGCACTGGGAAAGGGCAAAGGAAGGTCCCTTTCAGGCACATGTGGAGAGAGGGACATGCCGAGGGGCAGACCTGCAGGGGAGATCTGCTCCCCTGTACACACAGGTGGTCTGTGCTGGCCAGCACAGGTCCTGCACCTGGGCACATTCCCCGAGGGAATAACTGTGGGAACCACAAGGCTCCTGACAGCCAATGGAGATGAAGAAACCACCTAGCAACTTGCTGGTCACTCCCACTCCATCCAATCGCGGGCAAGCTGCTGCCCGGCAATGCTAGACCCGCCTCCTGGGATATTCACAGGAAGGGGGGAATAGCATTTAATGAGGCCCCACATGTGAGCAAGCAATCTCAATTTTCTGCCTCTCATTTAGTAGAGAACTTCCACGGGTGAGTGTGGAGTCGGTGGAACCGTGTAATGCCGCTGAGTTCATCCAATATTGATGTTGAGCGTTCCTTTGGGTCTTGGTGCGCTTAGGGCGGTGGAATGGCGGGGTGGGAGGCAGTCACAGCACGGCATGGCTGCGGCGGAGAGTGACGGACCGCCAGGGACTCCCGCAGCGCAAGCCAGGCTTCGCTCAGAAGAGAGGGCAGATGTGAGAGAGGCGCCCTGGGGCCCCAGGCCCACCACCGCTTCTCCTCTGATGACTCCCCCGGGCCCGGCCCGCTGCGGCCAGGCACTGAGCGGGAGGGGAGAGGTCTAGCAATCGTACATTCTTCTAGCCATCCTCCTTGACCAGTGAGCGGGACGCAGAGCTCCGCCTGCTTGGCGGAGACCCACCAAAGGGGTCTCCGGGACCCCAGACAGAGAACCACAGATCCAGCCCGAGTTTGCAGCAGTGAGAGTTCACGGATGAGAAGCCCCGGTGCCACCCACACGGCCCAGCACCCAGCAGACAGGAAGTGGGAGGCTCTGGCCTTTCAATATTTTGCCTGAGAGAAAAAAAATCAGAAGATTCGTGGCTGCTGAAATGCCCATCACGCAGCCAAATGTCCACGGGACTCCGCCAGGCCCTTCCTGCAGCAGACCCACATGGGCCTCACAGGGCGTAGAGAAAGGCTGGGGCGTCCCCACCGACTCCTGGGGATGGTTGTCTGGAGGAGGGGGAGGACGAGGGCCACCCCCCCACCCCAGGCCCTTGGGCCCTGACAGTTCAGAGTCCATTGCTCGTTCTCGCTAGTCTGGGTGTGGGCTGTCTCGTCCTGGCAGTCAGGCCCCAGTACACCCACATGCAAGGTTGGGGTACTCCAAAGCAGGGCTCTGGCCTGGGCAGCCGATAAGGAGCAGACAGAAGGCTGCCCCGAGGGTGTGCTGGGTCCGAGGCAGCCTCGCTGAGTTGGCTGGCTGAGCTCCCCGCATTGGTGGACCAGGGCAGGAGTCCCCCAAACACCTGGGACAAGGTGGAACCTCCAGCCAGCCAGGGCTGGCTACGTGGAGTTCAGCCACCAAGGGTACCTACTACCCTGTCAGTGTCTCCTGTCCAGGCCCAGGCTCGAGACCCCGCCCCTCCCAGCCCCCAGCCTGGGATTTGCTGCAGAGATGAGCTCTGCCCTCCTTGCCAAGAGCTTGCTCCAGATCTGGGGGGGCGGGTGGGGAAGCAGCGGTAATGGGCAATGCCGAGGATGGTGGTGAGCTCCCCGTGGACTCCTGAGGGGAGGGTGGCACCCCCAGTTCCCAGTGGTGAGGTGGTCCAGGACACAGGCTCTGAGGGTGAGGGGTGGCACTCCACAGGCTGTGTGGAGGGGAGCCGGACAAAGCGTGGCAGGGAGACTGAGCCCTCTGGGGGAGCTGCGTGTGTTGGGGGGCCAGCAGGGAGCGGAGGAAGGGAGTGGATGGGGCGGGCTTCGGCCTAAAGGCCGTGAGGGCCAAGGATTCCAAGGATTCCACAGACAGAGGACCTCTTTGGCTCTGTCCCCTTCTTCCTTTGGGAGATGCTCCCTGGGGTGCAGGCCCTGGGCTGGGGCGCGGCTAGGCGGTGGGCTGGCGGCGGAGTTACACATAGGTGTTGGGGGAGGCCGTGTCCTGGAGGACGGGGTCGTCCACATCGGCGAGGAGCTTGCGCTCGCTGCCCGAGCCGGCCGTGTTCTGGAAGCGGCGGAGACGAGCCTGGAGCCGCTCCTGCTCCTTTTTGAGCTCCAGGTAGGAGTGGGAGAAGGTGTGGAAGATGGATGTGGCCGGGAAGGCCATGATGAGAATTCCGCTCAGGATGCTGCTGAGGGCCACCATCTGGCCCGGCACGCTGCGGGGGACCATGTCCCCGTAGCCCACCGTGGTCATGGAGATGATGGCCCACCAATAGGAGGCGGGGATGCTGGTGAACTCCAGGACCCGCCCGGATTCGTTCTCGGCCACGTAGACCAGGGGCGAGAAGAGGGTGACGGCCACGCCCAGGAAGAGCAGCAGCAAGCCGAGCTCGCGCGCGCAGCGGCGCACGGTGAGGCCCAGCGTCTGCAGCCCCAGCGAGTGGCGCGCCAGGCGCATGACGTAGAGGATGCGCAGCGCCCGCAGCACGCGCAGCACCAGCCCCACCTTCTCCAGGTAGGAGCCGGCGGCGCTCGGCCTCTCCCGGGCCTCTTCCCCGGCCTCCTCGGACACCGCCAGCGACACGTAGTACGGCGAGATGGCCAGGATGTCGATGATGTTCAGCGGCCCGCGGAAGAACTGGCACTTGTCCGGGGCCTGGACGAATCTCAGGCAGAACTCCAGGGAGAACCAGGCCACGCACACGGTCTCCACCACGAAGATGTAGTAGCACTTGCGAGAACATTCGCCCTGGGGACAGAGAGCAGGAAGAGGCAGGTGCAGGGAAACAGGAGGGAACCAGAGCCTGTGTGCGTGGGCCTGCGTTGTGGGCAGAGCTGCGCACGGCCCTCCTGTTTAACCTGGCTGTCTAGGGTGTGGCCAGGTACCTGGGGCCAGCTGCCCGGGAGCCCTCACCCCATTTCCCAGCCTCTCCTGCAAACAGGTGTACAGGAATGTCTGAGGTCTCACGGAGAGCACAGGTGAGCCTGCTCCTGACCAGGCTCCAAGCAGGCAGATTGGATCCATGTCCCAGGGGGAGAAGGGAACACAAAGGGGGAGAAATTGGGGGTGTCAAGACATGGGTACTCAGATCTCTTCACTCGGGGAACTGGTTCATGAGAAAGAGAAATCAACTTTTTTGTTGTTTGGGGTTTTTTGTTTTTTGGTGGTAGTGGGGTTTGAACCCAGGACCTTGTGCTTGCTAGACAGGCACTTCAATTCTTGAAACACATCTCCCAGTCTTCCTGATTTCTGCCTCCTGAAAAGCTGGGATTACAGGTGTGAACTATGGTACCTGGCCTCATAATCTACATTTTACCGCGATAACCAGATGACTAAAGAGCCTGTTACACTTCTAGAGCGACCTTAGCCTTACATATGTCACGCTCAGGCTTGGAGAAGTCTTCGTGCCCAGGAGGGATCCTGGAGACCCTTAAGCATGAGCAGTAGAATTTCCCCAAAGATAGATGATTCTAGTATGGAGCCAGGATTGAGGAATTGGCTATAGATATTATAGGAGTTATATACACCTGTGCACACATGCATGCATGCACGCGCGTGCGCACACACACACACACACACACACACACACACACACACACACACACGAGTGGACGAATGACTGAAGCCAGCTACTTAAGTGAAACCTAAAATGTTGACAGTTGCAGGTTTTCTGTGGAAGAAAATGCTCTGAAGTGGAAAAAGCCGGTGCGTGGGCCCAGCTCAGCTGACACGGGCCCGTGCGTGGCCTTTGTGAGGAGCAGTGCTGGTCCCTCCTCAGCCCTGCTGGTCAGCCCAGCCCGGCAGCCTCTCTGCCTCCCTCCCCGAGTTCCCAAAGCTGCTGTGCGGAGAGACAACTCAGATTGCTTGGGGCCCAGGTTCAAATCCCGGCTCTTCCACTCCCTGGGGCAATCAGGGCTCCCCTCTGGATGTTCGTTGCTTTGCCCCAAGGGGGCTGTTTGAGTGGAAGGAAGTCATGTCTACAAAGCAGTTATTAGAATACTGTTCCTGGCAGCACACCTGGCCGTTGGTGTGTGTGTGTGTGTGTGTGTGTGTGCGCGCGAGCGCATGTGTATATGTGATCGCACGGGAAGGTGAGGACATTCTCATGGAGCTCTGTTGCAAATTTGCTTCAGGATCTGGGAGGGCTCAGGAGTTTTAGCTCCTGATTCCTCAATCCAATCGCCAACTTGCTGTGTGACTTAGATGAGGTCCTCGGGCCCCTCTGTGCTTCTGTGTCTAGCGGGGGAGATTGGAGCCCACGAAGCAGACACTGTGCCCTGGTCTCACCCCACCTCGTGGCTTGCTCCAACTCAGTGTCCAGAGCCTACCACCACCCAGGAACGGGCGCAGGCGGGGCAGGAAGGAGCCTGCCAGAGCTCCCCCAGGCCCAGCCTCCTGCTCCCTGTGGAGCCTCTTCCCACGCTGGCCTCCAGGGGGAGGTCTCTTCTGCTTAAGAGTCTTTCCAAGGGGCCGGCCAAGAGCGCAGGAAGGTGACTCTGAGGGCCCGGCAGGCCCGGCAGGCTCGGCCTCCGCCTCCTGGCTGCCATTTGCCTCTCCAGGCCATGTACCCTGTCCCCCTCGCTGGCCCCCTGTACTGCACCAAGCTGGCTTTGCCAAGTCGCTCCACCTGAACCCCACACTGCTCTGCATCCGAAACAGCCTGCAGGCGTCTGTCCTGGAGGATGGGCATCCGTCCTGGAGGGTGGGCATCCTTCCTGGAGGGTGGGCATCCATACTGGAGGGGGGCATCCGTCCTGGAGGGGGCATCCATCCTGGAGGGTGGGCATCCGTCCTGGAAGGTGGGCATCCGTCCTGGAAGGTGGGCATCCATCCTGGAGGGTGGGCATCCGTCCTGGAGGGAGGCATCCGCCCTAGAGGGTGGGCATCCGTCCTGGAGGGCGGGCTTTGCCTCAGCCACACTGGGCAGGGGCGTAGGGACTCGGGCCTAGGAAAGACCCCCTAGCCCAGCGGGTGTTGAAGATGAAAAGACAGAGGAGGGGGGTGACGAGCCGCGCCCCCCCTCTTGGAGGAGGTGTCTGTGTTTTACACACCAGCCTAGTGGTCCCACCCCACCTTTCTGGATTTGGTCACGGAACATTCCAGATCTGGGAGCTCCTCAAAGGCCGGGTGAGGCTGGCCTTCCTGCCTGTGGGCCTTGCCGGTGGTAGCGGGGTGTCCTACGTGCGTGGACGGGGCACCAGCCTTCAAAACGGCAGCCCTGGGTGTGGTGGTGTGATGGGTGCGAAAGAGCCCTAAGGGTCATTCGGGAGGGAATGTTCTAGATCACCAGGGGTGCGGTTAGCACGAGTGCATCCACTTGCTCCAAGGCGCAGAGCTCACAGGCCTGCCGGGAGCCACAGTGCCTGGCCAGGACCCCTGAGGCCCAGCCCCAGTGGAAGGGCAGGTTGGGGGCAGCAGCTGTGTCTGGGGCACGGGGGGCTTGTTCCCAGCAAGGTGTCCAGGATCCTTCCTGGTCCTCACAGCCCAGCCTCACAAGACAGCTCAGGTGCCCCGAGGGGAGATCAAGACCACCACCACCACCCCGCAGCCTCTCAGCGTCCGGGAGGTGACTCTGTGCCCCCCGGGGGCCGAGGAGACTCAGAACATGGCAGTTTCCCGGCTTGGCTGCCCCGTTCACCTTAATTTACAATCCGGGGTGCCAGCCCGTGAAGGGGGAGCCTGGGAGCCTGCCCGTCCTCAGGGAGTCTCGGCCTCCGCGGGTCTGTGGTCTCTGTGCCGGGAATGCCCGTGACCTTCACTCATCTGGGCCAATGTCATCCAGGCCCCTGCCTGACCCAGCCCACAGCTGTCCCCACAGCAGCTGGCCAGCTTGGCGGCTGCTGACCGTCCCCTGGGGGCAGACGTGAAGCAAAGCCCGGCAGCGTGTGCTGCACTGCGGGACAGAGCAGCTTTTTTATGCAAATGGCAGGACACAGTCCTGAAAGAACCCCGCTAGCTGTCTGGGTTTCCGCCCCACAGTGGAGCAGGCCCTCTCCACCCCGGATTCTACGGGTGTCTCTGGGCTGATGTAGCTGCACAGAACAGACTCCCCCGCTAGCCCCAGAGCTCTGGCCGCCCTCCTCCTTGGCCCCAGCAGGGTTCAGCTGCCCCCCGGCTGCCAGCCCCGCCTCCCCTCCGATTCGAGTCCCATGAAGCGAGGCCCAGGCCCCTGCCTTTGTCATTTTCAAAAGTCCTTGGTCCTCTGTGCACTCCAGATCGTGGTGTCCTTACAAATATCCCATGCCTCAGTTTCTCCATCTGAAAATGGAGCTGGGATGAGGGGTGCTGGTTGGGATGTGAGCTCAGTAGCTGCTCGGGCCTGCAGGTCAATGTCACAGCTTTTTAAAAAAGCATCACCCATTCTAGCAAGGAGGAAGCTAGGCTCAGAGAGGTAACGTGACGTCCTGTGGTCACAGAGACCCTCCCAGCCCGCCGAGGCCAGCTGTGGGCGGATCCTTTCTCCCTATCGATGGATTCTGTTTTAGCGAGGGGCACAAACGGCTTTCAACGGCCGGTCACTTTGCCCTTATGGGCTCCTTTGTCAAAAAACAGCAAACACACACACACACACACACACACACACACACACACATCAGGCTCACACCCATAATCCTAACTACTCAGGAGGCTGAGATCTGAGGACCCCAGTCTGAAGCCAGCCTGGGCAGAAAATTCTGTGACACTCTTATCTCCAATCAACTAGCAAAAAGCCAGAAATGGAGCTGTGGCTCAAGTGGTTGAGTGTCAGCCTTGAGCAAACAGCTAAAGGACAGTACCTAGCTGTGAGTTCGAGCCTTGGTACCTGCACACACATGTGCGCACACACACAGTGATCGTTTATGAATGGGCTGGTCTAAAACTGCAGGCAGTTCACATGGGATAACATTCATATTTTGGTACTTTGAGAAGTGCCATTTCCGGCTTGTGCATCTCTGGGGTCTCGGCTGCACAGGAGGCATCATTAGGGGATCGCAATCCAAGGCTAGCCTAGATAAAAGCCAACCCCACTTCAAGGCACACAAAGTAAACGCGCCGGCCGGGATCCTGGCTCGAGCGGTGGAGCGTGCGTCTCGCGAGCGTGAGGCTCTTCCTTTGGCCTGCGGCTCGCCCACTCTCTCGCGGTCCCCGCCCGGAGGCCACTCACCTTGTCCTCCTCGGCTCTGAGGTCGGGCATGGTGCTGACGCACAGGCTGACCGCCGTGGTAGCCACGAAGAGGACGGAGAGGCAGGCGAAGACCTGGCCGGGCAGCCCAGACCGCGGGTTCTCCACCATCTCGCGCAGCCGGTGCATGCAGCGCGCGCGGCGCGAGGGGCGGGCCGCGGGGCCGCGGGCGTCGCGCTGCCGCTCCAGGGCCTCCTCCCGGCGCAGCTCGGCGGCCTCGTCCAGCTTGGCGAGCAGCTGGCGCAGGCAGCAGCGCTGCAGGTGGCCCTCCTCGATGCCCCAGTAGCTCAGCTCCTCCCGGAAGGACAGGGCGCACATCTCCCGCAGCAGCACCAGCTTCCCGGCCGCCAGGAAGCTGGCGATGGCGCCGAACGCCCTGGGGTTCCTGTCGAAGAAGAACTCGCGGCTGCGGTGGTCGTAGTCGTCGCAGAGCCGGCCGATCTCCTCGCGGCTGCGGCACCGCCGGAGGCGGCCCAGGCGGCTGAGCGGGAAGGCGTCGAGCGCGCTGCACGCCAGGCGGTACCGGCAGCCGCCCACGTTCACCAGCATCTCCTGCTGCGGGTCGGCCGCCGGCGCCGGCGCGGTGTCGGGAGGGCTCACCCTCCGCGCCCGGCGGTAGTACAGGCCCTTGGCCGGCGGGGCCTCAGGCGGACCCGGCCAGAGCGGGGTCAGCGGGCTGCAGGCGCCAAAGTGAGGATGTCCAAGGTGCAAGCTCTGGTCTGCAGAGGGGACGGGCATGGCGGACGATGTCCTGGGGGGTGGGGCGGGGGCTTCAGGTCGGCCGCTGGAGGGAGAAGAGGAAGAGGAAGAGGAGGAGGGTGGAGGGCAGTCATCTCCCTGGCACCTCCCAGCCGGCGGCCACACAGACGCGCACCGTCCTGAAACCGTGGCGGTCGCTCGTGTTTATTGAGCAGCTACTATGTACCCGCGGAACCACCCGGAGGGGCTCAGGCTGGACAAGGCAGGGGTGGGGGCGGCCTTCCAGGCTGGGTGGTCTTGAACCTGCGGCCTCCACCTCTGACTTGACACGGCGCCAGCCCCCCGGCAGCGTGGAGGGCGGAGGCTGTGTCCGCTGCGAGAGGCCACGCCGGCCCCCACAGGGGTGGCACTGCCGCCCGGGTGCTGTGCTCGCTCCCGCGCCCCGAGGGGCGCAGTGCCACCGCACAGGCACCGAGGGGGCGAAGCGCTCTGCTCTGCCTGAGGCAGGCCCCGCGTTAGCCCCCCTCCACCCCACGGGGCAGGCAGGATGCGCTCTACTTTATAGACGGGGAAACTGAGGCACAGGATGGGCAAACACCGTGCTCGTGGTTTGGCAAGCCCCGACTTAGAGTGAGGCTCAGAGAAGGAGGGCCCTGGCAGGGTCAGGAGATGGGGCCCGCGACGCTGCCAGGGAGGAGCCCCAACATGGCCTCACCCCTCAGCTCTGCCTCTCCAGAGGGAGGGCCTGGGCCTGGAAGGTGAGGGCACCTTGGATTTTCAGCGACCCTTGCTGTGTGACCTTGAGTGGGTCACTCTCCCACTCTGGGCCTTGCTCTTTTTAATCTGCACATGGAAGCAGGCCTCTAACGCACCTTCGTTTCTGGCCTCTTTGGGGCGCTCGGTTTAGGATCGTATGTGGAACCCCCCTTTTTTAAATTTACAAGGTATTTACAAGATCACCTCCACAATAGCTCTTACCCTCAGCAACGATGTCTACGCGATTCACAGCAGCCAGCGCCGCTCCAAATCCTCTCCACCAGAAGGAACGCTGGCGGCAGCGGCGGGAGGCGGACAGGGAGGGGAACCTCGAGTCAGGGCGGCGGGATTCGGGGGATGGGGGGTGAGGACTAAATCACAGCCGTTGTGTTTCCCACGCGGTGCGCCGGCTGCTCTGCATGCAGGACCTCACTGGCAGGGCACGGCCGGAGCAAGGAGACGCCTGGAGACTGCAGAGCGCGGAGCCTGCTCCAGGCTGGCCCGTCTCCCCAGGGCAAACACCGAGACCCAGAGAGCCGCAGTGATTTGTCCAAGGTCACACAGCAAGTCCCAATCCGCCCCAGACGGACATCTCCTCCTTCCCAGAACCCCAGCTCTAATTCTGCAGCCCTGCTCCCCCCAAACAGCTGACAGCAAACCTTCCAGCTCACAGAAAAGGGCTCACCCAACACAGCAGCTGCACACACACACACACACACACACACACACACACACACACACACACCCAGAAACTTCTCCTGAAGTTGAACCCACCTCTAGTCTCAGGAACCCTGTGCCCCGCGTCTGTCTGCTGCTCGAGGGGAGCTGGGGTGGGGGCCAGGGGAAGGGGTGTGCTGCGGCAGCGGGGAGTTGGCCCCACTGGGCAGCTCCTGGCAGTCAGTTTCCAGCCTTTCTGCCCCGGCCTCCTCGGGAGCTGAGAAGTTCATTCATTCCTCGTCTCCCTCCCGCCACGGGCGCGGGGCGGGGTTTACGGAGGGTCCCGAGCCCCGTGGTCCTGTGGACAGTGTCAGCGGCCAGGCTGCGTCCCTGGGGGGACAGCTGGGGGGGGGGCGAGGCTGGAGGCTCGCGAGAGCGCTCCGTCCAGCGAGAGCGCTCCGTCCAGCCGCCAGGCAGCCTCTGGGCAGCTCTGCCAGCACCAGGAGAGGCCGAGAACGTCTCCCTCCCCTGCGCCCGGCTCGGGAGGGGTGAGGGCAGCTCCGCCGGGCCAGCTGCAGCGTCCTGTGCCCAGGCAGGCTGGCAGCTCCTCAGGGAGCAGCGGGGGAGGGGGTGTGAGGGGGAGGGAGAGGCTCAGGCGAGGACTGCAGAGGGACTGAGCGCTGTGACCTGCCAGGCCTGGGATAGGCTAGGGCTGGGGAGAAGCTCAGCTCTGAGCTGGGGGTGGGGGGGGCGGAAGGAGGTGAGACTTGGGGACTTGTACCACCCCAGGGCCTGGCACCCACTAGAGAAGGTGCGCGACCTTGGGCGGGTGGCTTTATGCCTCAAAGATGCAATTTTCTTATCTATTAAAAAAAAAAGATGGCAATGCCAGGGTCAAGGGCGTCGGTGTGAATTGTTGGGGCTCGGCCTTGTTGGGGAGGAAGATGGGCATGGGCCGGGCAGGGCAGCGGTGCCCTGTGGCACTGTGCTGTGTGTCCTTGGCGAGCCTCATCACCTCTCTGGGCCTGTGTCCTCCTCGGTCAGGATGGCGAAGCGGCAGAGGCTGGGAACGGAGGTGCTCGCTGTACCCCACACTCAGCCGACGGCCTCTGAGGGCAGGTGACCTTCGTGACTGTTCCACGCCAGGCCCAGAGCCCTGCTCAAGGTCACCCTTGCTGCTTAGCGGCTGAGTGAGTTAGGCTGTCAATGATCAGGACAGGGTCTGGTATGAAGGTCTTAGGGCCGGGGTGGGGGGGATGGGGGGGCAGTCACAGCCGGCTTCCTGGAGGTGGCCTGGCAGCGTGGATGAAGAAATGGGCACAGAGAAGCTGGCTGAAGCTGGCTGGAGGATCTCAGAGTCCAAACTGCACTGCGGAAACCATAGGGCTCATCAGAAAGAGCTGAGGGGCCTGGCCGGGGGACGGGGGGTGGGGTGGGGGGGGGAGCGACACCTGAGCCCCCAGGCCTGCTTCTCCTGCTTCGGTGCGGCCCACCCACTTCCTGGTCAGCACCTAGTAGGGAGCTCCCTGGTCTGGCGGACGGACAGGTCAGCCAAGGGAGGAAGGCTGGAGAACTGCACTGCTGCTCACGGGAGGGCACTGGCATGGCCTGGGAGCATACCATGGAGTAACTAGAGCCAAGAGGAAGGACGGAGACGGGGCAGGGACCAAGGCCTGGTGGAGCTCACGCCTGCCATCCCAGCTACTCAGGAGGCTGAGATCGGAGGATCTTGCGTCAAAGCCAGCCCGGGCAGGAAAGTCCCTGAGACTCTTAGCTTCAAGGAATTCCCCAAAAGCCAGAAACAGAGCTGTGGCTCAAGTGGTAGAGTGCCAGCCTTGAGTGAAAAAGCTAAGGGACAGTGCCCAAGCCTTGAGTTCAAGTCCCAGGACACACACACACCCCACAATGGACTGTGGACCTTGTGAGACACGGGGGACTCTCACCACAGCAGCAGCGGGCAGAGGAACCGTGCGGCTCCGTGTCCAAGCATGCTGACGTCACCTGGAAGCAACAACAACAACGAAACAAACAACTACGCTGTGTGCAGAGATCGGAGGTCAGGGTTTGAGATGAAAACAATTCGTGAGAGTCCATCTCAAGCCGTGGCTGGGTGTGTGGGGTGCACCTGTCACCTCCAGCACACACAGGAGGATTGCAGCCCGGACTGCACGCCTTGGGCATGCAAACGGGGGCTGGAGGCATGACTCAGGTAGGAGAACACCCGCCTCGCCGGTACTGCCCCTGCCCCGCCCGCCATCTAATGCCTGGGTTTTGTGCAGCTCAGCTCTGAGGCTGCGCGCACAGGATTGCCGTGTCCACCCCGGGGCAGCCCCGGGGCCTGGCCGCCTGGGGAGTGGTGCCTTGAGTGAGGAAGCCACGCCCCCCAGGGCTTGCGCCTCCGGCCCTGGTGGCACTCGCAGGAGCGCCTCCATGGGGTGCTTTGCCACCAGGGGGCGCCGCCAGCCACCGTGAGCCCGGCATCTTGCGGTGGAGCTGTGCGCACAGCCATCATAGGGCTGTGATGGAAGTGGCCGTGGAGCTGAGCCGTCCCTCCTTAGGGGACAGGTTTCAGACAGGACTGTCACAAAAGAAAGAGCGGCGGCAGCTGCAGGAACCTGTTCCTCATCGGACCCTGGAGTCCCAAAGTCAAGGAGCCCAGGGAGCCGCGGTGACTCCGGGCGGGGGCCTTGATTTCTTCTTCCAATCTGAATGTGTCCAGAGAACTCAAACCGAAGCCCTGCGGCGTGTGGGCGGGGCTGAGAAAGTTGGGCGATAGAGACACGGATGCGGCACTCTTAACCCGCCTGTGGCACTGAACCCCCTTTGCTTTGCACAACTACCTAAAGGTAACAGCAGCAGCAGCAGCAACACAACAATAATAACACAACCCAAAACACGTCCACTGGTCTGAGAGGACATTTGTGCTGTGCTGTGTAAGAGACGGCCGCAGATCGCACCATGATTTTTTGTCTTTCTGTGTTGTGTGTGTGTGTGTGTGAGTGTGTGAGTGTATGGGTATGTGTGTTTTGTTGTTGTTGTCAGTCGTGGGGCTTGAACCCAGAGTCTGGGCACTGTCCTTGAGCTCTCTCTCAAGGTAAGCACTCTACCACTTCAAACCACAGTGCCACTTCTGGTTTTCTGGTGGTTAATTGGAGGTAAGAGACAAAGAGTCTCACGGACGTTCCTGCCCGGGCTGGCGTTGAACCGCGATCCTCAGATCTCAGCCTCCTGAGTAGCCAGGATGACAGGCATGAGCCACCAGTGCCGGCTAATTTTTGTTTGTTTCTCAGGTACACACTTTTCTTTTCTCTACAAAGCTCAAGCTTGGCCTGGTGATCAGTGGCAGGACCCGGCTCAGCCTCGGGTGAGATCCATCTTCCAGGGCCAGGCTTTTCGAGCTTGGGTAGGAACCTTAGACGCTCAAGCTTACTTCCCCAACTGTGAGAAGGGTGGGTGACAGGTTCTGGGGGAAGGGGGGGGACAACCAGGAGGCGGCGGGCACTCAGAGCCTGTGCGTGGGGCTCGGCAGCCGCGTGGGGCTGGTCCCGTGGGATGGCGTTGAAGGCGCATGGCGGTCTTGAGTTGCTCCCGGCCCTGGCACCTGCATCTGGGTGTGGACTGGCCGT